TGATTTAAAGTGTGCAGGAGGATGTGCCTAGGTTGTATGCAAGTGCTCCAACATTTTATATATGGGAATTAAACATCTTTGGATTTTGCTACCTATCTATGTGGGTCCTAGAATCAATCCCGTGTTGATACCCAGGGATAACTATATCTCCAGTAGTTGGATTGCTGGATGATATGGAAGTTCTGTTTTTAATTTTTTGAGGAACTTCCATATTGCCTCTGAAGTGACTACACCAATTTACATTCCCACTGTCAACTGAAAAAAAAAAAAGCATATCTTAGAAGTTGAGAATTATGTTTTATTTGGCGGACTTACTGAGGACTTAAACCCAGGAGACAGCCTCTCAGATAGCTCTGAGGGACTATTCCGAAGAGTTAAGGGAGGAGCCAGGATACATAGGAGTTTTTGAAAAAAACTCAGGGATTTGGAACATCAAAACATTACTGCTAATTAAAGAAAACCAGACATCTCAAGTTAATGAATTTAGTGCTTTTCTATGTATATGGGAAGATGCAAGAGTCTGGGCCTATTGAAATTATTCCTTTGATATGCACCTTACCTAAAGGGCCAGTATCCTTTTTTCTCTATCCTGAATCCCCTCAGGGTGCACCATTGTGGGTGGCTGCAGAGTCTGATGTCTTGGTGGCAGCCAACCTGTTTTTCTCCATCCGGAATTCCCCTCAGGGTATACCTTCAGGGGCGGCTGCAGCGGCTGATGGCTTGATGGCCTCAACATTCTTTGTTTACTGAAATGGCAGGTGCCATTCTTTGTCCACACCATCAACTCTGCACAAGGGTTCCCTTTCTTCATGTCATCAACAGCTTGTTTTCTCTTGTCATTTTGTTAATAGCCATTCTAACATGAGTGAAGTGATATCTCATTGTGGTCTTGATTTACATTTTCCCTGATGTTTTAATGATGTTGAACATCTTTTCACATTCCTGTTGGCCATTTAAATGTCTTTGGAAAAATACCTATTCAGTTCCTCTGCTGATTCAAGTTAGATTGTTTGGTATTTTTTTGTTTGTTTGTTTGTTTTTTGCTATCGAGTTGTATGAGTTCTTCTTATAATTTGGATATTAATCCCTTATCAGATACATGATTTGCAAATATTTTCTACCATTCTGTAATTTGCCTCTTCATTTTGCTGGTGGTTTCCTTTGCTGTGCAGATCTATTTAGTTTGCTGTAGTCCTCTTTGTTTATTTTTGCTTTTGATGCCTTTGCTTTTGGTGTCAAATAAAAAAAAATCATCTCCAAGACCGATGTCAAGGATCTTCCCCCCATGGTTTCTTATGGGAGTTTATGGTTTCAGATCTTATATTCAAGTCTTTAATCCCTTTTGAGTTGATTTTTGTGTCTGGTGTAAGTTAGGAATGAATGCATAGATTTATTTTTAAATGTATTTATAAAGTTAAATGCTTAAGTTCTAGAAGGAAGATTTGTGTTTGAGTTGAGAATCACTGGTGGACTTAAACTAAAATACTTAAAACCCTATTAAGTGGACAGAACATGGAGAGAAACCAGCCTTTTTCCTGCATGGGCTATCTGAAACTTTGTCCTGTTTCGACAGTCCTGTGGAGCTCAGCCCTGCTAGGTGATGTGGTAAGAGCAACAGTGGTATAGTGAGAAGGATTCTAAACTAGGAATCAGGTTCCTCTTATTCCACCTTTGCTACTAGCTGGTAAGTGACTTTACTCTTATTTGTAAAATGATGGGGTTGAACAAAAATGTACAGCCTTTGGGTAAGCTTTTTGGGCAATAATTTTTTTTTTCTTATTTTGGAGTTACACTTCTAAGATCTCTCTGAAGGAATTAATTATAAATGCAGAAGAACATTGTGTACAAAGATGTTCCTTGCAGAATTATTCAGTGGCTGAAAACATTTAGAAACGGAATAAATATCCAACATAGGTGACTGATTAAGCACTTGGTAGAATTTTAATGTAACTGATAGTCTTCAGAAACTCCATATAGTTAACATGGAAAATATTCATAAAATATTAAGAAATGTTTTATAATTTTCTTTAGTGAATATGTATTATATTGGAGAGAATACCCCAAAGGATTCGTCCTTGAAGTACATTCAGTTCCTGGCTCTCACACTTTGATTCTGTGAGTCAGTGGCAGAGGGGGAATCTCAGTTGGGCTCTAGAGAAGGACATGAAGGAGGCTTTGTTGCATCTTCTTGGAATTACAGTAGAATCCAAACTTCTGCTAAGATTAAAAATGATAGTACTATAACACCCTACATAGTGCTCTTGATTTTTCATAGCAATTTGGTCCTAATTTAACTTACTCTATTCTTATAAACAAACCAAGTGATACTGTAGTGTGGAGCAGAACTTTGAACGGAGGGTGAGCCACGCATAACTGGAGGGCAGTTTTGGGCTTTGGGTAGTTGTTTAGAGACACTTCTGTGTTTTGCCTGTTTCTTCTAGCTCTCCCTCTCTGCTTATCCCTTTTCATCAGATCACAGTTAGCTTTTATTCTGGCCTGACACTTGTGTGATATGTAGGGTATTCTACTCCACTATAGAAAATTTGTAAACCTTGTTATCAGTCAGTTAACTGTTTTATAGCAGTTAGACAAGAAGGCAGAGATAAAGGATTGTGGGAAATGTGGCTGTGGTCCCTCCTTTTACTTTGATTTAATCTAGTGGTCTCAGACACGAGGACAACCTAAACGGCTCTGATTCAGGGTAAAAGCACTACTGTGTTGTTTATCCGCAGTCTTCTCTATGTGTTTACCTCATCTTGAGAGGAAAATAAGTAACTTTTTCTTCTTACTGTTATGTGGTCAAGGGCTGGTTTTGGCTTAGAGTTGTTCTAGGTTTATCCCTGTTAATGAAAACACAAGTTAGGCTGTCCCCTGAGAGCTGGGGTTGCCAGGAGCTGTTTGCTGTAATCTTTTTAGCAGTGAAATATTGGAGAGACAGTTATATGAGATGTGTCCTTGGACTACAACTCTTTTTCCATACCAGTGACCTACGTTCTTTTCCATATTGCCCTTCTGGACTTTAGGCTGTTGGAGAAGTATAGTTTAGATTTTGTAGCTGTTACAAATTGGTATCCAATTCAGTTACTATGGCAACTCTTCTGGAAAATTCATTTGTTTCTTCTTTTTTCCCTTATGACATTTTAGTTCTACTACCTAAAAGAAAAGCCAGAGGAGAACACTTATGATCATTAGGTATAGGAAATACCCAGGGAATTCTCTGGCCCATTCATCTAGACAGTTTTTATTTAGGTACCTACTGTGCATCAAACAGTATGCTCGCTGCTTTAGAAGTAGAATAGATTTGAAAGTGAGGCTGAGTAACTATTCTATAGAACTTAAGAAAAACAGGGAAATTGTTGCATTTCCTTATTATTTTTTAAAGATTCTGAGTAGTAATCTCATTTTGAAAAGATATAATTAATATAAGAAATTTTATCCTGAATTCTAAAAGTAGTTTTTAAAAGTATGGTAAATTCAAGCTCTATTGTATATCTTTCAGGCAATTTTATTACTGTAAAGAATTATACAGAAACACACAAATGGGATTATAAATACATTTACATGTTAGTTGGCCTGTTTTTCTGTTGGTATGTTAGTTTTTCTAGTGTTAAATTTTCGTGTGTGTGTGTATGTGTGTCTGTACAAAATATGGCATATTTAAATGTTTCTTCCAGGTTTTATCTTTTAAGTTAAATGTCTGTGTAGCAATGAACATTATAAATATTTTATTCTTATTATATTATAAATGTTTTGTTTTATTTGGCAGTAGATCTAGTTTTTATTTCAGTCGGCTGTACCTTTGGATTTTTTTTTTAATTTGGTTTTTCAAAGATTTATCACTGGTGAAACAGACAAGGCATCATCTAGTGTTTTGGGTTTTTTTTCCCCCAATATAATGATGAATGTGGGAATAACAGATGCCTTGTGAAATCTGAGTGGAATAACTTTAAATTAGGAGTTTCTAATCTGCAGTCGATGAAATCTCTGAAATTATATATTAAATTTAAGTATATTTACATTTTGTGGGGGAGGGAGCTATAGCTTTCTTTAGATATTCAAAGGATTGTGACTAAAAAAAAAAGTTTAAAACCATTGTCCTAAATGATGTTTTAGTTATCTACATTTCTGTTGGTAAAAAATATATGCAAATAAACTTTGTTTTATCTTGGGCTTCCCTGAAGCCTTGTGAGAGATATTTGAGAGGGACAATATAGTTTTCTTTTCCTTAAGTGTTTCCTTTAAAAAAAACTGAAGAATTCATTTTACTGTTTCCATTGGAGTTTCCTTTAATATTTTAGGTGAGATGATTGACTGTTTTGGTAATTCCAAAACAGCTTTAAAATCTTAACCTAGAATAGCACAGAGAACTAATATTCAATATCCTATAATAGCCTTTAATGAAAAAGAATATGAAAATGACTCTACATATAAATATGTGCATGACTGGGACATGATACTGTACACCAGAAGTTGACACATTGTAATTGACTATCCTTCAACTGAAAAATAAATTAAAAAAAAATAAAATCTGAACCTAGAAATTCACTGTAGATGATGAATTCTCAAACCAGAAAAACTTCAAGTACAAATTTAAGTTTCTGAACAGTTGAGATGGTGGCTCCAATACTTTTTTTAAGGAATTTTTAAGGAGCAACTGAAGGAGTGAGAGAGTCTGAGGCTCATGGGGCAGTTAGGACCTGGGGAGACCAGTTGGCTCCTTGATGCAAGAGAAGATATGGTAGAGAAAAGGGTGGCATTTATGCTCAGGAATTTTCCTAAGTTTCCTGCCTCTGAGATCTGACTCTGCCAGGACAAGGATGTGTGTGAAATTGAACCTTAAAAGAGTATTGCTTTAAAAAAAAAGAGAGAGAGAGAGAGAGAGAGTATGGCTTATGTTCAGTTTAAACTTCTCCAGGGAGAAAGGAAATTAAGCTTGAAATGTCTAAGGAAGGGTTCAGACCTTCCCTCTCTTTTCTCATGTCCTCTCTCCTTTTGTGCAGGTGGATGGAAGCTTGCCTCGGGGAGGATCTGCCTCCCACCACAGAACTGGAAGAGGGGCTTAGGAATGGGGTCTACCTTGCCAAACTAGGAAACTTCTTTTCCCCCAAAGTGGTGTCCCTGAAGAAAATCTATGATCGAGAGCAGACCAGATACAAGGTGAGTTCTTCCTTGCCTGGTGCTTAAATTTCCATAAACTTGAGAGAGAAGGTTAGCATACTTTATCCTGTGAAAGTGTTAATGAGAAATACATATAAGTGTGTTTGTTCCAACAAAATTAAATACCTGGAATAGTGGAGAAAATAGCGCAAAGTCAAGATACAGTAGTAAAAGAACTTGAGCTGTCTGTACTTCTGGCTCAGTTCTGAGTAATTTGTATCTAGAAATTTTCATGGTCCTTGATAAATTTTTTATTTCTTAGAAGGCAGAGGAAGTAACTAGGGGAATTACTACTTTAACTCTAATTTTAACCAAGCACTGAGATTTGTAGACAAATTGAAAGCAATAGCAACTTTGGGGAAAAAAACATCACCTTGTGATATTAAAGTTCAGGATAAAATGGGAAAGTGATCCAGTTTCAGAAAGTTGAGATAAGTGAAAGGGTTTGATTCTTGTGGCCTGGGGCCTTCAAAAAGATGATTGTTTTAAGTTGGGATGTTGACAAAGTCCAGATTCCGTTGTCTACAGAGCTTCTGTGGGGAGCTTTCCTAAGAGCGCTTATCTGGAAAAGGATGAGTATAAAAGATAGTGGAAGATTGCGAAACCAAGAGCAAATGTAAGAATGGTCAAGGGTAAGAACTGGGCCAGAGCTCAGAATGAGTTAAGAGTGAAGACAGAATCAAAAGAGATTTTTTATGTTTTAATTTCAAAGGAAAACAAGGAAAGTGTAGGTCTTAAGCCAAAATTAACATCCCAAATAGAAACTATTCTTCATCAAAAAGCAAAGATTTATATATTGAGTTTTACACGAGTGGTTATTCTGAAGACACCTCTGGAGCTGTTCTATTGAGAGTCTGCAAAATGTTGGACAGAACAGACAGACATTAAAGGAAGAGTAGAGACTGCAGCAACAGTAAAAACAATGGCCTGCACCTCTACCCTCCTGAGAGTAAATCTTCCTTAAAAATAACAGGCATAGGGATTTCGAGGGGGATACTTGTATGTGTAGTATAGAAAACCCTCATTTTGGGAGTATCTGCTATCAGCCAGATACCACACTGAGTGCATTATGTGTATTTTTCTCAGTTAAATCTTTCCAACAAAGATAAAGTAGGTGTTAAAGATGGGGAAACTCAGACTCAAAAGGGTGAAGTGACTTGCCCGGTGTTACCAGTAGATGGACAAGTCATTGAATCTGAGATAATTGAATTCCAAAGACCATGTTCTGTTGAGCACACTGTACATAGGAAGATTCTCCAGATGGTTCTTAAGTGAGAGAACCTGAGATGTGGATTTGGCTTTTTGGGATTGGAATGTAAACATAATGCTATAGACAGACCTAAAATTTACAGGGACCATGTGAAGTCTCAGAGGGAAACTTTTACAAGGAGAGTTTTAATTCAGTATTTGCTTCAATATTGCCAACAGTGCCTAATGGTCTTTTATTTGTTCTAGGCAACTGGCCTCCACTTTAGACACACTGATAATGTGATTCAGTGGTTGAATGCCATGGGTGAGATTGGATTGCCTAAGGTAACTTACATGATACTCTGGCTTAATTCTGGCTGTTTTGGCATGACAGTTCTCATTCGACCTACAAAATTTTTCTCGGTGTTGAATCTTTGGTGATTTTTTTTCTTAAATACTAAAGAGTCTCTTTCTTCCGTTTGTTTTTCTTTTATATTTCTCATCTCTGCTTCACCTCACCCTAGAGAAATTTCCTATGATATCATTTACTTTTACTATAGTAAATTATAGACATTGAAATTCATATACCATGAAATTCACCACTATGAAGTGTACAATTCAGTGGTTTGTATTCATTGACAAAGTTGCTACATTCAAGTTTGACTTTAGGAAACATAAGGGAATATTTTAGAAATGTCATCTTCCAGCTTCAGAATAACCAAATCTATAAGGAGGATCATTTTATATTTCAAATTGTAGAGGCAGCATAATGACATTTACTTCTTACATCTGGTTTTGGTGATGGCTGTAGTTTTTTGTCTTTTGCTTTTTGTTTTTTTTGAACAGCCTTATTGAGGTATAATTGATTATAGAAAAACCACACATATTTAATGTATACAACTTGATAAGTTTGAAATGATGGCTGTAGTTTTAATATGAGGGTGTGTGCATCCTTGAGTGTTTGGCTCAAGTGTTTATTTAGTGCTGTTCTTAGTGAAATTGCAGTTGGGTTAGCGTTGGGCTGCACCTCTCAGGCCTGCAAGCCTTGTGATTGTCCAGCCTTGAGACTGAGGAATGAGCCCAAAGGTAGGAACAGAGACATCAGTGGCTTATTGGATAGGGGATCTTACATGTCCAAAGCAAGGCCCTAGAATAACACCCTACCATGGACGGCAGTCAACACCGCAGCAGTCTTCGATACTGGGGGCAGGGGAGGTGTAGGGGAGGAATTGAAGTCAAGTTGGCTCATCAGTTACCAAGGAAAGCAGCAGAGAGGCATATCCCTCATAGCCCCTTAGGCAGATGCCTTCCCTTTGATAAATTATCATAGTGGAGTCATTCTGATCTAAAGATTAGAGATATCACTAGTATTTACTGATTAGGCTCTGTAACTAAGAGGGAATGTCAGTCATATGAGTTGGGTGTAGGTGAAGCAGGGACTGGTGGACCAGGGAACGTACATAGAGCTAGAGAACAGCTGTCCTGGTGGCCTAATCATATGTCCAGCTACCTAGTCCTACCTCGAACCCATAGAGGCCATGATGTAGCATCACTCTTAGAGGCAGGGACAGCTTCCCCACTCGCCTCCCCCCAATATCCTCTGGTCTAAGAATTCTGTTTCTAGGAATGTATCTCCCCATTTCACTTCACCACTACCACTGGTCCAAAAAAAAAAAATTAGACAAACACACACACAAAATATATATGTAAGGATTTTTTTAACATTGCTTATAATAGAAAAAATTGGTAGCAAACCAAATGTTCCTTCACTTGAGGTATTGTGTTACAGCCAAATACTAGTGTAGTCATTAAAAAAGATGATGTCAATCTATATTGACAAAGGAATTTGTCCATGATGTGTTGAGTGGGGAAAAAAAAAAAAAAGAAAACTAGGCTAAGGTTATAAGAATTTGTGTTCTGGCTAAGATGAGATCACTATTTTTGTCTAAAAATAAATGAGATTTCTTGGGGAAAATCTCCAAGGAGATAGTTTTCATTTCCATATGATGGGATTAAGGGGTGGTTTTTATTTTCTTTATGTTTGCTTGTGGAGTCTAAATTTTTGTAACCAAAGAAAGGTTAAAAACAAGTGAGATGTGGAGTACCAGAAGGTGGCTGAAACCACTTGGAAATGAACATTTGGCATTTAGCAGAGTGCTCAGCTCACATACTTGTTGAATTGAGTTAAATTTGGAGCTAAGTCTTTGCAGAAGACTAGCTTTTGTCCTCTTTTTTTCAGAGCAAGGTGCTGAAGTTCTCTTCCTTGCACTGGTATGTTTGAGAATGAAGCCCCACAAATGTCAGGAAATGTAATAAGTCAAGTTCTTACAGCTACTTGGCCTCTCTGTGCACCTGTAACTTCCTGTTCCTGTTTTTTATGTGGTATGCCCAATGGGCAGTGATGATTTAACCTCTTTTGAATGGTACTAAGAGCTTTGTTAATATTTGCTCTTGCTAATAGTATCGTTACCACAGAATGCTTTTTTAATGATTTAATTTTATTACCTTTTTTGTTTACTAACAGTAGTGCATTGTCCTGGACCACAATCTCAACAAACATAGAATTCCCCAAAGACTATCAGGAACAAAAGGATTATTAAGGCTATCAGCCTTGAAATGTCTGCTTTATATGATTTAAATAATGTAGACTAAAGATCCTTAGCCTAAAAATATGTTGTTACCCATAGTATAATGTGTGATCTGTAATACAGTACATATATAGTATTCACTGGGATGTCTTCCCTAATCTTCCCTTTATTATTTATTTTAATGGAGGCACTGGGGATTGAACCCAATACCTTGTGCATGCTAAGCATGCACTCTACCACTGAGCTATACCCACCCCCTCTTCCCTAATCTTTTTCTATGGTACATACAGGCTAATTATAGAAACTTGTTATGATAATTTTTTGGTTTTTATTTGTTTAACTCTTTATTATAATTGGTGCGTTTGGCCAACTCCTCCAGGAAACATTCTATTATTTTGATTTTTTAAATTGTTTTAATCTGCATAATAGACCTCTGTTTTCTTCAACTACTCTACCTTCTACATCCTAGTGGTGGGCATTCCTTAAGATGCGATTTTAATTTTAGCTATATTCTCTCGTTCTTATGGTTTTAGTAGTTTTGAAGACTCTTTGCTGTTAGATAAAAACAGTTTCTTCAGTTGGCTGCTGGACATTTCTCCTTGGATAGCTTTCTATCTCCTAGAATTTCTCATACCTGAAACTAAACCTACCTTTTCCTCCAAGTGAACTTCCCTTCCTCTGAGTTGTAGTTTGTCATCATTTTTCCAGTCATCCAGTCTCAAAATCTTGGAGTTACCTTAACTCCTAACTGCAGTCATTCCCTAAGCCTTCCTCAGTTATTTGAAATGTTTCTTTTATCTGTTGAAATAGCCACCCAGCCTGCTTTCCCAGCTTTAATCTCTGCACTATTCAATATAGCCTGTGTCCTGTCTCTAGTCAGATCTTCCTGAAGCTCTGTTTTCAGCCTTGACTCCAAACGTAGGACTTCTCTGTGGCCTGCATAATCAAGCTCAAACTTGTCTGACTTTCAAGGTCCTCATAATCTGACTCCAGCCTACTTACCCAACCTCATTTTTCTATACTTTCTAAAATCTATTTTGGTACTATTCTCGGGTAAGGTGACTGACTTTGACCATAATTTTCACCTTTCAGGAGAAGAGATTTCAGTCTTGGGAAGTGAGCATTTAAAGTTTGAAAAATTATCAAAAAAGATGATTTGGGTACATCCCATCTCTCTTGTGTGTGTCGGGGGGTGCAGTTCTTTCTCATCGGAGCCATAGCTATTGTGAGGGGAATGAACATAAAAACAAGTAATTAAACACAGTGTGTTAAGTGCTCTAATAGAGTTAGATATGAAGTGCTGTAGTAGTCTTCTCACTGCCTTAGTTAAGGCATTTTATTGCTCATCCAAGTTCTGCTGATCACCTCATAATTCAGTCTTCTGCTTTTCTAATCCACTGTTATTCTTTTTTTTCTCTGAATTACAGATTGGGTTGTATAGTGCCGCATTACCCATAAGACTAGGTCTTGAAATTCAATGCTGTTCTCCATATAAACCTACTCTGTTCCTATCCTACCTCATTCATTAATTCATCAAATATAGAGCTCCTTCCATGACCTTGACTCTGGGCTTGGCATTGAAGGTATAGCAGTGAACAACATATTCCTGGTCCTTGGATTCATGTGGCTTAGGAGGAGTCAAACAGATAATTACAACACACATAATTGATTAATTGCTGTATGTGCTGCCAAGGAAAACTACCCATCTCTCTCATTCCCACATACATCCTCTATTCTATCTGTCTGTGTATCTTTCTACTTCCCCCAAACTTTGTAACACATTTTAATATTTTGTAGTTTTTTTCAATATTTAAATGTAGTGATTTACACATACTGAGCCACTTAGTAAATGTTTGTTGTTGAGTTATTACTCAGTCTAAGCGTGATAGACAGTAACTAGGAAGATTGCAATCTGTCAGAGCCTCATACGTTTGCCAGTGTTTTGAGCTGCACTGAAACTTGGGTTTTGTTTGCCCATGTGTGAGTCTATAGTAAGTAAATCACTTTCACATACTTAGTGAAATTCAGTGGGTTGACCAAATAAGGCTTTTCCAAGCAGTGCTTTTCATTATGTACTGTAGCATTTTATTCCTTACATTACTTATGATGAAATGTCTGTTCACCTTAATGAAGTTATTGGCCAAATGTTGACAATGTTTTCTAATTGTCCATAATTTTACTTGTACTACTGATGATTGGTGAATGATTAAATGGTCTCTAGTGGATGGATACCTTACTCTACTTCTTTTCTCTCTCCTTAGATTTTTTACCCGGAAACTACAGACATCTATGATCGAAAGAACATGCCAAGATGTATCTACTGTATCCATGCACTTAGGTAATTAGACTTTCTTGATAAAATAAGCAGTATATAGACACAGAGAAAAGATTGGTAGTTACCAGAGGTGGGGATTTGGGAGTGGGCGAAGTGGGTGAAGGTGGCCAAAAGATACAACCTTCCAGTTATAAAAAAATAATAAGCCCTGGGGATGTAATGTAAGCATGGTGCCTACAGTTAATAATATTGTATTGTGTATTTGAAAGTGGCTTAGAGAATAGATCTTAAAAGTTCTCATCACAAGAAAAAATTTGTAACTGTGTGGTGATGGATGTTAATTAGACTTGTTATGGTGATCATATTGTTATGTTGCACACCTGAAACTAATATATTAATGTATGTCAGTTATATCTCAATTAAAAAAAAAGTAGTTTAGAGGTCACATCTGAGTTGAGTATGTAGTTTTTGTCCAAGGTATAATGAAAAAGTTTTTGCATTCACTTCTCAGAATTTTCAAGTAGAATAGGACACTATTTTCTTAACAAAATGGTGAGGAACAGCTATATTTTTCTAGGAAGTAGGGAGAAAGGATTTATTTAATCCTATAATAATAGAAAGTTGTTTTCTAAAAACATGATATAATCTTTCATTATTGATCTAGTGTCCTATGAACTATGTATTTTGCTTGGAATGTAGTTGCTTTCTTTTAAATTAAAATCTCTTAAAATTATAAAAACTATATACATTTAAGTGCTTTTATTGTCTATCATTTTGTTTCAAGGTGCTAAACTGAATTATGAAATAATACTATGTCTTGATACTCTTGGTAGTGCAGTTAAATTTTGCCTACATCTTCAAATAATACCAGCAAATATCAAATGGTAATTTATTTAGTTATCTAAGCCCTTGACAAGCCATTTCTTCATTAAATAATTTTTATGCCAATACAAATTGACTTAATTTCAGGTCTCCAGCTCTCAAAATCAACAAAATACTAAATTGGAGGGAAGAGGTGATACGTCTAGGGGGAGCGTGGGATGGGATGGGAGTAGGTGCCAGTAGTACAGTGTTTCAGAGCAGTGCATGTTTGCTTGATGGCTATGGGGCTAAATCAGAAGATGGTAGAAGTGAGTGAGTATGAGAAGGGACATGAGTGTGAGATTTCTCTGCTTAGACTGCTGTTTTTATATAGCATCTGTATGTGTATTTAATAAATGTTAATTATGTATGTGAATGTATGTATAATATTGACCCATAAGAAGCCTATTGTCTCTAGTTTCTTGATAAAACGTGTGCTGGATCCTTGGCATCATTGGAATCTTTTGTGTGAAACCCACAAAAGAATGGACATAAATGAGGACTAATAGATCTCGTGTGTGGACTAACGCATTAACCTCCTTAGAAGTTTCCCTTCCTAGGCTCTCTGCCTCCCTTCTGGGCCATCTGCTATGCTCTCTTTCCAAAACAGCCCTAGTCATATTGGATGCTTCATAAAATA